GGACAGAATTTAAAAAAAAAAATTAAAAATAATTTACGCAGTAAAAAAAAAATTACCTTGTCGGAGAACAATGCTTTGCCCATGCCGTAGAATTTTTTCGACATTTTTTCGGAATTTTTTCGGTTGTCGAATTGCTCGTTGAATGTTCGGGTTTTTAGAGAGATAAACGGTTTAGAGAGATAGAATCAAAAAAAGGTTAAGGGCAAAAAAGTAATTGGGGGGGTGGCGGTGAGTAGTAAAAGGGGGGCGGTGAATAGCAGTTGAGTAACTTTAGTGGTAAAACCTTGGAAATGGGTTTTGTAAACCTGTGCAAATGCCAGCACTAAAGATGCCCTAACCCACACGACTCGGGTTTTCCTTCGTTGACCCCGTCAACTTCCTCTTCCTTGTCTTTATCTAATGAAAATCCCTTCGAATTTTTCGTAAATTTTCCGACGTTTTGGCAGAGAGGTTTGCCGGATCAGAAGGTTGCCCTCCCAAATGGGGGGAGGTCTTCTTTCTTGTCGGAATTTGGGATCGTGTAGGCCATGGGATACAAAGGTTGGCTCGTTCGTTTCGAAGGTCGGGTTATCTTTGAGATCATTCTTTTCATGGAGATCGGGCGGTGACGGTGAAATTCGGGGTTTCCCTTCGCAATTTGGGAATCCCATATCGTCAATCGGGTCGTTTTCGAGCCCGACCCGAGTTTGATGACTGAGAGGCCGATGAGGTCGGAGTGTGAATCGGAAGTCGGAGCCAAGGCTGTGTAAATTGGAGGTTGGAGACGAACTTGAAAGTGTCGCCCGTGCTCAAAGGTCTCGGCCCGAGATGCCGACTGGATTGATTTGGAGGTTGGCTATGGCATAGTTGGTCTCTGGTGACTGTGAAGTTGGAGAGGTGAATTCGGGCTCCGGTCTACTTAGAAAAGGCCGAGGTCGGTAAATGGAAGGGTCCTCATCATCCTTCGCCGACTTGTAAGGTCGGATCTTGTTTCGAAGTTCGTCGGCGATCGACTAGTTGAGAAGTCGGTCGAGCAATGGGCTTCAGGTGGTCCCGGACTTCAGTTTTGGAGCTCACCGTGGTGAAGTCGGGAGCCGATGGGCTGAGGTTTCGAGATCGGCTACGGCTAGGTCGGATATGGAGAACCCAGCTAGGATTTCGGTGGCCGGAGTGGTCGGCGGTAGTGACTAGGTCGCCGACGAGATTTTCCCGTTTGTGAGATTGGTCTTCACGACTTTGAGGTCGGCCCCAAGGATGGTGAAATTGGTTTTGCTGTGAAGTCGGGCTCGGCGTTAAAGAGGTCAAACCCGGTAGTTGTGATACAGAGGCATCATGAACCCGACGTAGGAAAGGTCGGCTCAATTTATAGTAATTCCTGGTGGTTGTGAGACCGGAGATGGTGATGATGTTGTTGATTCTTTCGAGCTCGGACTACCGTCCCCACGGGAGGATGAGGCCAACGCGTCGGATCTGTCAGCAGTCTGGGCGGACACGACGGTTCGACGAAAAATCCAGTAAATAAGTGAAGGCAGGGAAAATCGACACCGAATCTGACGGTTGTGCACTCAAATGGGGCGAATATTGTTTTGGGAGATTAATTCTCCCGTTGCTATGTATTTTGGATATCTGATTTCCGATTTGCTCGCCATTTTTGAGATTCCATCTTTGCTGAGCTCCCCTTTGG